AAATTTCAGAATAAATGTATTCAGATAGCTAAAGAAATTCTTAATGAAGAACCTATAGTTGAGTATCGTCCTTCTTTTCTGAATGGGTTAGAACTTGATGCCTTCTTTCATAAATACCAAATCGCATTAGAGGTGCAAGGGGCTCAACATCGGCTTCATCACACTAGCTGGTATAAAGATGTCAAAAAACTCGAGGATATTGTTAATCGTGATCGTCTAAAAAGATGTATGTGCCAAGATAATGGAATTTTCCTACTTGAAGTGTGGTACGATGAAAATCCAGAAATTGTTATTCCTGAAAGAATACAAAAAATTAAGGGTTTTGTTAATTAAGCATCCCAAATTTTCGGTCTCCTATAATCTTATAATACATATCTACAGATAAATTTGACGATCTATAACCGATTTTTTGAATAAAACATTGAAGCATCCTTTAGTTATAATAATGCGACTTGCAATTCATGATCATATCAATATTTTTTTTGAAATCTTATTGAAAAAATAGCATATCGTGCTCCCTTTTTATTCAATGCATTGCAAAATACAAATGAGCAAAACAGCATCAATTTTTTGACGTCCGTCTATCCAGCAAATTTTACGAGGAAAATCACGCTTGTTACTGCATTATGTGTAACAATGTCCGCTAGGTCACACTCTCATTGTGTAACATAGATGTTTGATTATAATTTGTGTGATAAGGATAATTATTTTCCACATCCACTATCTTAAAAACGGATTGAAGTTCCAGATGCGTTTTAATCGAACCAGCCTGAACAGAGTTTTAACGAGAAAGAACTGTTATTTGTTAACAAATTTACATAATCGCAAACTCCTCAAATGTCAGCAACGTCAAAAAAGCAATTTAAGTCAAGACACAAGGACCGAGAGATCTTTTCCTTCAATCGAAGAAATTAAAAAGTATTCTCCTGAGCAACTTGTTAGTTTCTTAGAGTCTGGGAATTTATATCTTAAGAATAATCATATCGAAATAATCAAGAAAAATGATATCGCTGGTGTAGACTTTCTTCTCTTGAAAGAAGATGATCTCTATCGAATTGGATTACCTATTGGTCCAGCCAAAAGAATAATACATATAATACAGTTAATTAAGAAAATTTCGAGTACATCTACAATGGACAGACCATCTACTAACCTTGCACACGTATTTATTGATAATTCGAATATCTGGATTGAGGGAAAGTACACCGTTGGAAACCTCGAGCGGTTAGGTACCTTCGACTTTGACAGAAATTCCTATTACTTTAAACAGCTCCAGATCGACCATGGTAGACTTCTCACCACAATTCAATGCGGACGTAAATTAGGTGGTGCACCATTCTTGGTCGGTTCTCGACCACCTCCTAACGATTCATTGTGGGCTCGCATTAGGGATCAAGGTTTTGAGGTGAATATATTTGATCGGGACATCAAAAGCCACCGTGAAAAGGAAGTCGACACAGAACTTGTAATATCAGCAACAGAAACAATTATGTCCAATGATCCTGGTGTTTTAGTTTTGATTGCCGGTGACAGGGATTATAAACCTTTAGTAAGACGAGCACTGAAACACAATTGGACTGTGGAGACATGGTTTTGGAGTTCAGGTATGAAAATGTCATATTCGAAGCTATATGAATTTGCCTAATTCGAAATATCATGTCTTCATAGGAATTTCCAGTTTCCTCAAGTCAGATACGACTTTTCGATCTTTGGATAATTGTTATCGTACCTTCTCATATGGATTAGGTCCTGATCTCACTGAGAAAAATTACGTTCTTGAGGTTACTGATGGTAACGTCATTCAAAGTTTGAAAAATGAAGATGTACTGGAATGGTTTAATACTTTAAACTTGTTCGGTTGGTGGGATTGGGAAGGTTATAGAGCTGTGCGATTTTATTTTAATAATTCGAATTACTTGGAGACTGTAAAAAATTGGATCATGCACAATTATCAAGAAGTGCAGATTCAGGAAAAAAATTAAGAATGATATTCCATCTTTTATGATACAAAAATGAATTAAAGATTAAACATATTACGTTATTACAAATAAAAATTTTTTTCAGAGTAAATAATAATGTTGAAGTCAAATAACCGCGAGCGTGCATGGGAGGTAAACCAGTGCTTGATCGGGGCACCGGAAGTAGTTAGACCCAAAGCCAGCCTCGAAAGGCGATAACTACTCCTATTTCTTTGGGCTCGCGATTACTGACTATTATTACCATCATTATTTTCGTTATTGTTATTACTACTGCTATCAAAAACTTTATTACTGCTACTCGAAAAATTATTCCTACTACTGCTAATAATGACAGAGTTATCTTTTTCTCGATTTTCTCTCTCGACCCAATCTGCGATTTTATCCAATGATGTCGTTTGCGGTTGCGGGGCTGAGATCAATTTCTTCAGATATGACGTTATATAATTTCGTGGGGGAGCGTTTCTCCCTTTTTCTCCTTTCATTGAATATGGCCGTAAATTCGACCCAGAGAGCTTCGGTCTTATCAGGATATTCGGATCGATAAGATTGCGCAGATGCTTGTCCTAATGAGAAACGCGAGTTAATAAAATATAGTGGAGCTAGTGTCAGTGGTAAAGCCACGAGTTTCCAACTCAAGACACTTATTTTCACCAAAGACAAATTTGCAATTATTTCACAAACCTCTGCTTCGGGCTTCGGATCTCCATTCCGATTCATTTTGCATTCTTTCAATATCGTTTTTTATAGCTAAATTATCTCGTTTTAATTCTTTTATATCGGCACCCAACGCATCCAACGTAATGGCAATTGGAGTTGGAATTGGGATCGGAGTTGGAGATACATATTTTCATAGATAAATAAATACTACGGCGATAATTACATAGAATATTGTATTTTCGGGGATAACGGAATAAACCATCTCCATTGTTAAGATGCTCCGATTATATAGTTCGTAGATGACGATTACAGCGATGAAAATCGCAAATAAAAAAATATCAGAAATATTGAGTTGCATTTTTCGCAGTTATTTATTTCGCAATTGATAAATTGATTAATTGACAGTTTGAATGAGGTGCGATTGTTCAATGATGGCTTTAATGATTGTTTTGGTAACTTGATTTCTTACCTGAGACTCCAACAATTTCGACATGTTTTTATAGATTAAAACCCAGCATTAACGATCTGTGACATTGGTTCTTTACATCTCGTACTAAATCGAGGCAATAGATTATTAGCGACTACAATATATGATGACTTCATACTATTTATGCACATCGGATGATCATTCACCTATAAAATCGTGTGCATACATCACCGATAATTGACAATTTCCCATGTATCACTTGATATTTTTGTTCGTTACTTAATTTAGATGTAATACGGCTCTATTTCAGAATAAATGACACTTCAGTTCCGCATCTAGAATACATGTCACGGGTAATAGAAACGGGTAATAGAAACGCGTAATGTCATACGTAAAAAATCTGATTATCTTAATTGCGGATTTATAAATGCAGTTAAAATATCTTACTAATGAAATTATGCCAGAAGTGTTGGATGATGCATTTCCAAATATACATATAGTTCAGTATAATCGAACACTCCTACTATACTTCCCTTACTTTTATTTTCAACCACCACGAAGTTATTCCTTGGATTATACGTGTGCTCATATTTATGAGAATAAGCAGATTCATATACTGGAAGGGAATATCAATAAATTTACCCATTGTTCTACGCATATTGTTTCGAGACTTAGCCATGTTAACATATATACATCCATTTATTCGATTCAAATTTGTACATTTATGCGATATTTTCTACATTAAATATATTTCTTCGAAACTTGATAAGTCAAGATATTTTATTATAGCAGATATGGAGAATAGTAATAATAGCGGAGCTAGTGCCAAGGCGCATAAATCTGATTAAAGCGAAACATTTACTCATTTATATAAAGTACTTTTATATAAGAAGAAGGATGTAATAGCAATTCAAGAAAAACTCGGTATTAGCTGGGGAGCTAGCATGGCTAATGGCAATGTACCAAAGCAAACAGAACACGAGCCCGAAGGAAAAACACTTGATGATTCATATAAGTTATTATTAAATTTGATGGGAGATTTAATAGTTATACAAGGGAAACTTGATATAGATATCAATCCCATTTTAGAAGTAGAACGTAGAAGGGATAAAACCTCTTCAGATAAATCAATTAGATTATTTGATTTACTTTTATGCTTAGAAGACGATATAGCGACAATTCAGGAAAAAATTGGTATTGTTGGCTATACTAATCAAGAAATGGC